TGATTGGTCAGTTTTAGACAGAATCGTATTTAAAAATTTGTGATAGAATAGAAATTTCAAATCAGCTGTACTTAATTAAGACTTTAAGGAAAAGAAATTAAACACACTCAAACTGAGTCCATATAATATGGATATTTTTATCAAAAATACATACAAACTAGCTAAAAATTAACTATTTTTTCCCTTTAATTCGGTCCTGCACTGTCGACTTTGAACTACCATACTGTTTACATATTTCAAGCAATTTCTCAACATTTCTCACAGCTTCGACCGTCTCCTTTAGTGTCAAAACTCAATATCTTCGTTACTATTAGAGTTGCAGAAAAAGTTAAATATAAAAGTTGTAGGCTACAACCTACAAATTTTAGCTACACAGGTTGTCTCATAAATTAGTGGCAACATAAACTTGTTGTTGTTCTAAATGGGACACCCTGTATTTCTGTTGATATTTACAAGCGCCTTTTCTTGGCCATTTTCCCAATGTAAAGTTTCGGAGGTTTGTACTGGGTATTTCGGAATATATGGCCACTTTTTCGCTAAGCTCATTGTACATGTGTCTTACCGCATCTTAAGCACACTTTAATCAAAATCTGTTTTATTATACTGAGTGATGGAAACAGTGGTAGACATTCATATCCAATGTTTCTTATGTATATACATTGTCCATCCGAGGCATATAGGGTGAGTCAAGACGGAGAGATGTAATTTTCTCGAAAAATTGAAATGCAACACCCGGTATGTTATATCTCTATTCAATTCCCTATACCCAAGCCTAGTATTTTTCAGATATTCCGTGCTTTATAGGTAAAAACCATAATAATATTGAAATTAGTAGCAAACATACAGGTTGGCCATGATTTTTTGGCAAACGTGTCATCGTAAACTTCAGTAGTAAAGTTTCGCTTAGAAATGAATTTTTTTACAGGAAGAAAGTGTGTTTCAAGTTATGGTCCACGTAACTGAAGATTTCCATATAAAAGTTTGGCGTATTTCAAAAGATTTAGACATTAATCAATCATCCGTGCACAATATACTTCAAAAAAATGCACCCCTACCCTATACAATTATTGCACCAAGAGCTAAGCAAAAACGATTACGTATTTAGGCTGACATTTTGTGGCTGGGCACAAGAAAAAATACGTGACCAAGAAGATTTTTTTAAAAATGTTCTGTTCTCCGACGATTCAACTTGCCAAAATTATGGTTTTCACTTTTAAAACATAGAAAATCTAAGAAAATACTAGATTTGGGTATAGGCAATGCTTAATAAAACTGAAAAAAAAAAACCCGAAACCATACACTGGCAGAATGTCCAAGAAAAGGCGCTTCTAAAAATTAACAGAAGCACAGGGTGTCCCATTTGAATGATACATGTTTATATTGCCACTAATTCATGGAACGCCCTTCATAGCTTTTTACAACTTTTTTATTTAACTTTTCTCTGCAACTCTAATAGTAACGATGAAGACAAAATTTGGACACCCTGCATGCACATAAAAATACCTATCTCTTTAATTAATGTGCATCCCATTTCAAAAAATCTGGTGTATTACAGACACTCTTTAGACTATATTCTCTGGTAAAAAAGCATAACAGGAATGATGGAAGTTACCCAAATTATGGTTTGAAATGTTTACTTCCGGCTTTGCATCCTATTTTTTAAATTTCTATATTTAAGGAAATCGTATAAATATAAACTATAATTTTCTGCCATATATATAATGATCCATAAAGCAAAAAAAAAAATGCGTCAAGTAGATTCACTCTATACTTCATACGCTTTCGTTAGATGTTTCACAAAGAAAAGGGATGAGTCAAGCCGTTTCAAAAGGTGAAATTGAATCGTGATTAGGTTGGTTCACTAAGGTACGATGAATCTTGGACTTGCATATCAAACATATAAAGCAAACCTATAATATTTCTGTTTCCATGTAGGGAAAATATGTGTGACTAATTATGTCTACCAGGTGCATAGTATCACAGATCAGCAGCTTCTTAATGACACTGATCAACAGCCAAAAAATATCCTAAATAAAATCAACAAAATATTACTATTTTTAATGTGCTAAAACCGGAATGAAACTTATTTTTTCAATATTAGTTCAAGTTATAGAGATACGGTAATTATATGTGTTCCTGCTGTGACAGTGTTAATATACTGTAATTCACAATAATGCACGTGCTACATTTTTATATTCCATGTAGGGAAAATATGTGTGACTAATTATGTCTACCAGGTGCATAGTATCACAGATCAGCAGCTTCTTAATGACACTGATCAACAGCCAAAAAATATCCTAAATAAAATCAACAAAATATTACTATTTTTAATGTGCTAAAACCGGAATGAAACTTATTTTTTCAATATTAGTTCAAGTTTTAGAGATACGGTAATTATATGTGTTCCTGCTGTGACAGTGTTAATATACTGTAATTCACAATAATGCACGTGCTACATTTTTATATTCGGCAAGGAAAGATGATGTAATCGGCATGATTGTGTTACGTTATACATACGTGTACATTATATTGTTTTATATTAGCCATTTTTTCCTCAGTTGGCTGACAGCGTTCATGCAAGATGTCTCGAAAGTGTGTAAACAATCCAGATCAGTCTTGTTACGTGTGTGGTGATGTGACTTTTGCGTCTCAGAGACGGTCTATTACTCCACTAATAACAAAGGCGTATCAGCTTTATTTCGGTTGTAAACTAGGTGATCAAGACAAACAGTGGGCACCCCACATCTGCTGTAATACATGTGCTTCAAGTCTGAGGAGCTGGTTAAATGGCAAAAAACGGTATATGCGCTTTGCTGTCGCAATGGTTTGGAGAGAGCTTACAAATCATGTTAATGATTGTTACTTTTGCATGGTACCTTGTGTTGGACAAGCCACAGGTATGTTCAAGAAAAAAAAATCGGTTATTAACTACCCAAACATACCATCTGCGATGAGACCTGTGCCTCACAGTGACGAAAATCCTATTCCAAAAGCCCCAGAATCCTACACTTGCGAATCAGAAAACGAATCAGATCATGGCGATCGAGTGATTAGTCAGGAAGAAGATATGCCATCAACGTCAAGAGATCCTGATTTTATACCGAGCACGTCATGCCACCAACCGCACAAAATAACACAGTCAGAATTAAATGATCTTGTAAGAGATTTAGAACTTCCAAAATGTAAGGCAGAGTTACTTGGATCAAGACTGCAGCAGTGGAACTTGTTAGAAGACGATGTTTCGGTATGTGTTTTTCGTAAACGCCACAAAGACTTAGAACCATTTTTCAATATGGAGAATAACTTGGTTTTCTGCAGTAATATTAACGGCTTACTGGCGGCTTTAAATATAAACTATAACCCAGAAGAATGGAGATTGTTTATAGACAGTTCAACATTGAGTTTAAAGGCAGTGTTATTGCATATTGGAAATATTTTACCATCTCTTCCTGTAGGGTATGCAGTTCACATGAAAGAATCATATGACAATATGAAGTACCTATTGACATGCATAAAATACGATGAGCACCAATGGCATATTTGTGGCGATTTGAAAGTTGTTGCACTTTTACTTGGGCTGCAGTTAGGCTACACAAAGTTTTGTTGTTTTTTGTGTGAATGGGACAGTCGGGCAAAGGCACTTCATAACAAAACTGGCCTGTTCGTCAATTCCTAGAGCCAGGTCAAAAAAATGTACAGCATATGCCATTAGTAGATTCGAAAAAAAATTTATTACCATCACTGCATATCAAATTGGGCTTTGTCAAGGCATTAGATAGAGATGGGTCAGCTTTTTAATACCTGCGTCAGAAATTTCCAAGACTAAATGAGGCAAAGGTTAGAGAAGGTATTTTTGTTGGGCCACAGATTCGAAATATTTTGAAAGATACACAGTTTGAACAAACTTTTACAGGTATTGAAAAAACTGCTTGTAATGATTTCCGTCTGATAGTCACTAATTTCTTGGGGAATAGAAAAGCTGACAACTATAAAACCCTTGTCAAAAATATGGTGTCATCGTATCAAAAGATATGTCTCTTAAGATACATTTCCTACACTCACACCTGGACTTTTTTCCTGACAATTGCGGAGCCGTAAGTGATGAGCACGGCGAACGTTTTCATCAGGATATTTCAACAATGGAAAAAAGGTACCAGGGAAATTGGAATCCTTCCATGCTTGCAGACTACTGTTGGACTCTTGGTAGAGATGCTCCAGAAACGATCCATAAAAGAACAGCAAAAAGACAGCGCATATAGTGATTCTTATAAGTATATGAATCTTGTTACTTTTTTTAATATATCCTTAACAATAAAAAGTTTTTTTTCTAAACCGCAACTAATTTTTTTATTTCATTGTCATTTTTAGATTCATCGCCCCAAAATTAACAAAGAAGTGTACTTTTCCCACAAGATACAATTAAAAAACTAAAATTTGTTGTCCAGTGTAATAGAAGGTCTTTCACTGACACCAAATTAATAATTGAATAAATAATAAAATAAAAAATTCAAATTATTTTGAAATGTATTATTCTAGCAAGTATTCAAGCAATATGATTAATAGAAGAATAGGCTAAAATTTTTCGGAAACTCGGTATAGTTGATGAATGTAAGGAAAACTGTCAGCCTCGTTTCAAGATAGTTCCATTAGTGGTCGCTTACATAAGAACTGTTTTTTATAGGTAGGTAAACTTGTTAGAAAAGTATTTCATATGTTTAAGTTCTTCAACTATTTTAATGATCAGTGGTATCTTGTTTTTAACACTGCACAATTTCTTAATAAAAAGGACGCTTCCATCCCTTGTTGGAGAATTTTTACAGATTTTTATTATAGTTGGACGCGATCTGGTAACTTTGTATTTTATAACGCGATTCATGCTATACATTTTTCAAAATCTGATAAATTTGCCGCGAATTATTTAATTCTAGCGTCTGATTGAATTCTATAAACATCAGTAATAATTATGGTAGAAAATCAATAGATGTAAAAAGACAACTTACGTAGGACCTTCGCCCTAAAGTTTTCAACAGAATCCGATCAGTCTTCCACATTTTCAAACTTTTCTTCAAACGACTAAGCAAAATTACAATTTTTTCCAGGTTTATTATTTTTTTGTGGAATATTTCTTAGGATTCTAGGAGTTCAGCCCATTTGTAATTTTTTTCACAACTACTACCTCCTACGTCGATACCACGTTGATACGTATGTCTTCTTCTCGAGATTAACGTTATTTGTATATTGTGTTATTCCGAGATGACGCCCGGTTATCGTCAGTTTCACAATTTGTTATTTATACACCAAATCGGTATTACCACACGTAACCTCTTGACCCGTCTTTTGTTTTATGACATATAAGGTGTCCCAAAATCACAGCCCTTACGCTGGTGATCGCGGGTGGCGAAATCGAAAATTAAGCGGTGAGAAAGAATGTGGTCAAGTGAGTTGACTCTGTACTTCCTACTACTCGTTGTCATCAGTTCGTAAAGGCACAAGTTCGCGACTTCAAAACATAGAGATCGAGGGGGCTCCCAAAATAACCGGAATTATTTTTTAAAAGCTATTTATTTTCAACTTTTTCACAAAGTAACCTTATCTGCTTAGAAACCGTGCTCTTAACATGATCAGGAGGGACAAAAAGACATATATCGAAAATTTGGCAAATGAAAATGATTCAAAAAATTGTGGAAGTCTTTCAAACAACTTGATATAAATTTTCGTAGTAAACCAACCTTTCCGGCAAGTTTTAATGACCCTACCAAAATTAATGATTATTTTATGTCTGTTTATAGCTATAAACCTGTTGATTCACTAGTTTGCGAAAACTATTTCAAAAATAAATTAAGCTCTGAATATATTTTTTTATTGAATAAGATTAGTTCAAATGACGTATTACAGGCAATAGGGAGCCTAAAATCTGATACGTAGGGAATTGATGGTATATCTCTGTCAACGATCCAGCTTTGCCTGTCAGTTATTCTCCATCACATCGTCCACATCTTTAACGACTGTTTGGAAAAAGGCTACTTTCCAAACACATGGAAACAAGCTCTAATTATTCCAATTCCTAAAAAAATGAAACCCACTGAGTATAATGATCTCAGACCTATCAGTTTATTACCAATTTTATCCAAAATTTTAGAGAAAATTATAAAGTTCCAATTGACCGCTTACCTAGAAAAATTCTTTATACTTCCCGACACTCAATCCGGATTTAGAAAAAATTATAGTACAACATCTGCCCTACTTAAGCTGCAAGACAATATTTTAAGTGCCTTAGATAAGAAAATGGCACTAGCCTTAATCTCTATAGACTATTCGAAAGCCTTTGACAGCATCAATCATAAATTATTACTTGCGAAATTAAATTACATAGGTCTTGACAGTGTATCCCTTTCATTTTTCGACAGTTACCTTCATCAAAGTACTCAGTGTGTTTTTCTCAATCAAGAAATGTATCAAGTGACAATAATTCCCTCAGGCGTACCTCAGGGCTTTGTATTGGGACCGCTTCTGTTCCTCATATACACGTTCGACTTAAGCAAAAGTATTGATAATTCTCATGTTCAGTCATTTGCAGACGATACGCAATTGCTTCATTATTTTAACCCAGATAATGTCAATAATACTACTCAAATTTTACAAAACGATGTTAATAAATTAATTAAATACTCTTTAGATCACAATCTACTTATTAATCCACAAAAATCTAAAATGTTATTATTTTGCGCACAAAGAAAAACATACAATGTAACACAGCTCTTGAACATTCAGATAAATAACCAAATCTTGCAATTTTCTGATTCTGCAAAAATTCTTGGTGTTGTTTTTGATACAAAGTTAAGGTTTATTGAACATGTTAAAAGTATATCTCAGAAAACCTACCTACGGCTGCGCACTCTTATAGCAAACAGGTATTTACTAAATTTTAAGATGCGTAAAAAACTATGTGAAGCATTGGTCATATCTATACTAAATTATTGTAATATCGTATACTATACTTGTTTAGACAATTTCATTAAAAACGTTATTCAAGTTATTCAAAACAATTGTATACGATTCATTTTTGGCTTGCGTAAATTTGATCATGTATCGGCGAAATATCCCGTTCTAAACTGGTTAAAAATTAATGACAGGGTCAAGTATCACTATTCAGTTTTTGTTCACAAATTGCTGCTCACGTCTAAACCTTATTACTTGAAGGAAAAAATTTCATTTAATAATGATGTTCACTGTAGAACTCTCAGAGAAAATAATATTAGAATACCCCTGCATACGTCTACACTTTTTAAACGCAGTTTTTCTTACAATGTTGCTATTATTTATAATGACCTTCCTAAAGTATATAAAGAATTTTCATTACCTGTCTTTCGACAAAAAGTTAAAACATTATTACTCAACCCTCCAAACATATAATTTACGTAATCATTCATTTCTTTTTTATTCCATCTTTAATTCAGATTAATAATTTTTTGGTGCATTTGGGTTTGGAAAGTATGACTTTTTCTCTTTTTTTTTAAATTTTACTTTCGATGTAATGAACCAAATCTGTTTGTGGATAGTGTATTCTTTTGAACATCTGCTAGAGACTATATGGTTAAGTGTAAGAGTAGCAGCATGCTAAACCTCGCCATATAAGTCTGACATTTGGCTATACTACAATGTAATTGTGGATAAATAAAGACGTCTATTATTATTATTATCTCCTCCAAAATACTGTCCACTACAACTAATACCTACATTTGTCCTACCGGTGCTTCCATTCTTTTTTGGACCTCTTCAATGTCGCCAAAGCGGCGTCCTGTCATGCCCCTTTTCATCTGTGGAAATAAGAAAAAGGTCAGTCGAATAAGGTGCATGCGGCAGCGGAGCTATGCCATTTTCGCCAGAAACTGTCGAACAGAGATTGCTGTGTGCGCAGGTGCATTATCGTGGTGGAGAACCAGTCTCCTGTCTGCCACAAATCGGGTCTTTTTTGCAGAACACTGTTTCGCAATCGTCTTAAAACCTCCAAATAGCACAAGCTCTCGAATTTTTTCAACATTGGACGCCCAGAGCGAGGTGTGTCATCAATCGACATGTCGCCATTTTTAAATCGAGCAAACCACTCGTACATCTGAGTTTTTCCCATAGCACCATCTTTGTAAGCTATTTTCAACATTAAGACAGTTTCAGCAGCATTTTTACCAGTTAGAGAGCAAAATTTCGCAGCTGCACGTTGCTCACTGAAGCTTGTTATCGCAGAAAAAACGAAACAAGCACGAAACAGCTCTAGCAAAAATGGCACTGAACTGGTAATGAGTTCCGCTGTACGCCTCTAGGGGCAGAAATGTGTACTACACAAGCTCCGCCCACTGCAATGCTATTCCGGTTATTTTTGGGTACCTCCTCGTATAGCTTCCCCACCATCTGCAATCGCTAACCCCTAGTTTTTGACCCCTATAAAAGCTAAGCGCCAAAAAAGTTTGAGCAATTTTTTTCGTTGAACAGATTTTGAAAAACTACAAAACTTTTTCGTCCTTGGAATGTGAAAATTTTATCAAAATAAAGGATTAGCGGACATACAGACAGACACACAGACTGACGGAAATGAGTGACATGATTTTTCGTGATGTACAGGGTGTCCCACTTTCGATGATATTACGGGGTATTTCACTTACTAGTAAAGATAGAATATTGGTTTTCTCAATATTTTGCTACTTTTTCGTGAAAAGAAAGAAAACAAAAATGTTCATAGCTCGCTTCGTTGCTCACATACCTGGGCGAAATTGAAAATATCGTATTTTCAGACCCCCTCGTACCTCCGTTATTCATTAATATATCGCAAAGCTTATGGATTTTGTACATTTTTCTTACTTAGAATCCAGTGGCGTAGTCAGATTTTTTCTATGAGATACCAATTTTTAGGTATCAAACTAACTTAATTTTTTTTAATGGGACACCCTGTATATTTTTTCTCCTTTGATAATTTTTTGTAAACCTTACAAAAATAAAATATCTGCATTACATGTATTCTGAAAAATAACAAAACAAATGCAAAATTTCACCAAATGTGTCCGGATTCGACACTCTTGGTAAGTATTGTGCAGGGTGGGCCATTAAGTTGAGCGTATTTAAAAAGAAAATCATACAAAAAACTACACAACTTATATTTTTAATAAAGTAGACACATTTTCTAAAAATAACATGGAGATGTGAGGGATCGAGACGAACGCACTCCTCGAATTCGTGAAACCTCGCTTTAAACATCGCTCGTGTGATAGCTGACCTCTCCTCGGAAATGAACGAGAGCCGCGCCATCTTGTTGAAACCAGGTCCTGCTATGGTTGGCTTCAAAATTATGCAGTTGTGGAAAGAAAAGGTTGCGTAGCATTGCTCGGTAGCGATTAGAATTTACGGTCTGGCCTTGCTCCTTTTCGAAGAAAATAGGGTTCGATGATTACTTGAGGCGACATGGCCATCCAGACTGTAACATAGCGAGAATGCAAAGGTCGTTGGTGTTTTAATTTGGGATTTTCTGCGGCCCAATACTGGGAATTGTTTGCTGACAAATCCACTCGAATGAAAATGAGCTTCATCGGGAAAGAAAACTTGAAAAGCGCTCCAACATTCTTTCGGCAAACGCACGGCGTAGATGATGGTTCTGCGATGTCAATTCTTACGCTAGTTGAAGTTTATATGGGTGCCACCGATGCGGCATTTCAAAACTTGGCAAAAGGCAATCCATAATTGTTTTAAATGATTTAAAAAGAATAACCACCTTATGCGTTCATTGCGTTCGAGAATCCATTTTAAGCAGTTTCTTTAATGTAAAAGTCTATTAAGGGGTTAATATTGATGTTAATTTTATGTTAATATTAAGATGAGATATTACAAGTTTTGCTTAGTGTTATTATCCGTTAGTGTATAAAATTATTCATAGTTTACTTAGATTTAGCTTTTTTAAAATGTATGTGTCCGTAATATACAGGCTGTTCCTTAATGATATGCTAATATTTAACGGTGTGAATCGACATGAAAAATTAATGTTAGTTTGCTTTATAAAGTATGATACAAAAATGTTTCCTTACAAAAACTCGGGGTGTTGAAGTTTTAGGGAAAAAATGGAAATTAATTAATATTTTCAAACCCGCTTGCATATTTTTCAATGCACAAATAATTTTTAGCTTTAACAGTGGCGTGCGTACGGGTATTGACTTCGATATTTTTTAAGAAAAAAATGGTACGCCAATGGTTTTCTGCCAAATAAAAATTATTTTTGAATTCCCCGTTCAATTTAAAACAAATGATCTCTCTTGAATTGTTTTCCTTCGATGCGTCATTCTTGAGTAAAAAAATAAAAACCGTTCTATTGTCCAACTTGCAAAATTATTAGGTAATTTAATTGAAAAAATTAAACACATTAGGAATAATGAACAACAACAACTGATAATATAAACATGACATTAAAACCAACGAAATTACTACAAAATTGTTGAAAATGGCCTCCTTCACTTAGTATGCTTGGTTCCGCCCTCCTTCTCATGGAATTGCGCAGTTATTTTTTTGGTCATGGCAGTTAAATTAAAATAAAATATTAATTCCAAGCTTTATGTTTGGACGCTATACATGCCCGCAATAATTTTGCATACATATTGATCGTGTCGTAAAACAACAAATCATTTATTCTTAGTACGGCCCTGTAACGTGCTCGGCGTTCTGGATCGCGATCACATGCAGTATACGTGAATATGTTTAGGTTTGGTCTCTTTCTTCGATGGATACATAATAATAAGATATTCAGATCGACTAATAGTTTTTGCAAATTTTTAGTTGCTTATTTCAGATATCCTTTTTTACTATAATGTCTCTTCTAAACCAGGTTCTAAGTTTACCAACTGGTGTGATACTGTACGTCAGCAGGCGTTCAAGGTACACCGGTCATCTTGGAAAGTTCCACTTTTGAGAACACAAAAGGCGATACTGTATCGAGGAACAAATGATATGATTATTGTTCGTAATGGAAAAATCCAGCAAAAAGCGAAATTCAAATAGAGTTATGGCGCAGACTAAGAAGTATAACTGGTCCTTTTGGACGTTGGTCACGCCTAATATAGGCTGTATCAAGTTGTTTGCAAAAATCTTTGCAGAAGACAACCTTAGATTGTACTGCTAATAGTTATAGTAGTATGCTTCCGATTTATAACCCTCTAGATTACAGCTGCAAAAGCAGAAAACTTTTCGAAATTAGAAGTATTCAATATATCTTAGGACTTCTATGAGGTAAATAATGCAGAGTTACCAGTAGTTGTAGAAGGGGCATTCGCGAAAAAGCCTTTGGTATTCTGACTTCTAAAGATATCGACATTTTTCGAAGAACTCGGATCCGTTTTTCAGGTGCCTTACTTTTTTTATATACCGAAGCAGAAGCCGAAATTCCAGTACACCGTGGCTGCTATGATGATCACAAAGGAATTTTGTTATTCCGATTTTTGGACTACCTTTTAGTAGAACTGGGAAAAGCTTCCTGACAAAACTTTTATATCATGCTGGTCTTTGGCATTGCGAACCGTTTCGTTATATTTATTTCTGAACTCGACGTCAGTGGGTTTTGCAAGGAGGTTCTGTGTGCCTTTATCTTGTGCTGCCGAGCAGTGCCGCACGGTTCGTTCAACCAACCGCTGAACCCTGGTTTAGGCACTTTCACGATATTAGGGATGTATTCCTCCATCCCAACGTGGATAATTTCGGTTATCAATGAACAGACAGCCGACGCATCCGCGAGACAACCATCTCTCAAAGGAAAGGTGGAGAAGAAATCTCTCAACCCCTCCCAGTCGGCATGTTTGCAAAGCCAAGTTTTGCATGATCTGCTGCATTGGTCTTCTTTGAATCCAACCAAAGCTCATTATGGGCATTTAAATCACCGAAGAGAACTACCTCTGAAGCTGGGTAATTGGTGATCAGGAATTTGATCTTGACAGGCGAGGTATTCGAGTAGGTAATCCCAAATATGGTCCAAAGGAGAGCCATAAAGGCAGCAAATAAATTTGGGGGACGGTTTGGTGTATTAACAAATATCGGTAATTTAATTTGAGTTTATTTAGTGTGTTGAATATATCCACATCATGATTAGTCAGTGTACGCGCTGAGATTTTTGCCTCTGTTACAACAGAGCAATGTAACATGTCATGTTTTGTATTCTGATTGAAAAAACAAAGAGTTGTGGATAATTCATTTTATGACCAACATGTTGATCTTCCATCATTTAATTATGTTCTTATTAGAGGGATCAATGATAATGGTTTAATCCAATCAAACAAAGATTACGAACTATTGGTATATTGGATGGAATAACCAAAAAGGAACAAAATATCCATATTAAGTACATACAAGCAAACATTCAAAGATTGTCTACAGTTCTTTGGTGTCTTCTTTGTGCTTGAAGCCCTTGCTTTGTAGCAATTTATTGCATTCATCTCTGTTCAATCTATCCAAAAAGTATCTTTCCATTTCCTCATCTGCATCATTCAAGAATATCAACTCTGGAGGGGCTCCAGAGATCTTCTTCCACTCTACATTCTCGTATTTAGGGATATCTTCATATACAAAAGCTCTCACTTCTGGGAGCCTGTTTAGGGAGCAGCCAGGGCAGCTCTGAAAATAGCGATTATGTATTGACTTAAGTGACTGATTTAACTATTTAACTTACCTCCAACCTTGCTCTAACGATTTGGTTGTCTGCACTTTGGGCATATGCCACGAACGCTAGGAAGATCAAAGCTGTAGTCCTCATTTCCACTTTAAACTAGAGATACTATGGAGATGTAACTGATTATCTGCTTGTTTTTTTAATTATTGGCAAGATAAAACACTGATAAGCTGTAACATGAGTGTATTTTTACAATCTATACGCGAATTACAAAACGTTTGATTAGGAAATTGAAAACCTGAGTGGGTGAATCGGTTGGATAAGGATACAAATTTTCACATCAAAATAATAACATAACCTAAAATCTAACATTGACACAGAACACAATATCAAGGTTAAGCCCACAAAGCACATAATACTAGAAGTGCGAGCTGCATATTAAACGATGCCAACACCGTTGACGTTTGCTAGATGGTTGCACCGCCTACTTGCCTGGAGATGTAGATGTGTTTTTTTGGATGAGACACTCATCCCTTTTGTTTATTACGCCAAGAATCTCGGTGTTACCCTTGACTTAAATATGAGATTCGATCGGCATGTCTCTTTCTTATCTAGAGTAACGTATTTGCGTTTGAAACTCCTCTATTCTAATCGATACTTCTTGAATTTTAAAACCCGAAAAAAGCTCGCTGCAAGTCTTGTGTTGTCTGTCGTTTCTTACTCTCTTGTTTTGTATTACCTATGTTTAGACTACGTCCACAAAAGGAAACTCCAGAAAATTCAGAACAGCTGTTGTAGGTTTATTTTTGGATTGCGCAAGTTTAGTCGCGTCTCAGATAAAATAAAAAAACTCAACTGGTTGCGAATTGATAAGTTATTTTTATATCTTTTGACCGTCTTCACGCATAAAGTTCTACTATCTAACAGACCAGCTTACCTCGCTAGCAAATTAGTTCACCGAGGTAGTTTTGTTACCAGAGCTCTTAGATTTAATGCTAATTTTAACATGCCTCCTCACAATACCTCGGTATTTGAAAGAAGTTACACCTATAATGCTGTCAAGCATTACAATGCAGTCAACAGTGGCTATCGATCCAAACAGGTTGTTTCTTTTAAGAAATTAATGAAAATTCAGCTGCTGGAGTCCATTTAGTTCAGTTTTTCTTATGCTCATGTGATTTTTTTTTGTTTGACTATTTTCTACTATTTTTGTTTAAAATTTAAAACTCTCGCAATACTATCTGCATTTGTCTCGTGCAATCAATGTTTTCATTCTTATGAATTGTATTTTTTTTGGTATGTTATTATTTTGCTTATATGTTTAAGTATTATTTTTTCCTGTTGTGGGGTTGAGTGTAAGAGTAGCCGTCTGGCTAAACTTCGCCTCACTGCAGTTAATAAAGGCATTATTATTATTATTAAGTATCGAGAGAATGCCGAGAATACGTCTGGAATCAGGGGGGTGAAACGTCTTATGGGCGAACTGGCAACACCAAGGTCATTCTCTCCAGGCACATACACATAAATCTCCAGGCAAAATCTAGGACACTTTCTTACCAACAGAGTTGGATTTTTGACAAACGACAGTTGGACTTTCCCTGGGAACTTCTATTTTGTTTTCAATCTGTGTTTTGATTCGGGTAGGCTACACATTACATTTTTAACTATTGATTTAATTCCCAATCGAGAAATTATCGTTCATAATCTTCATATAATAATAGTACTAATAACCTTTGTCATATATTTTTCAATGTAAAATATACTAAGTGACATATAAATCCGAACACCCAGTTTAAATGGTTTTATTTTAATAAAAGTTGGTGAATGTATTTTTCTTACTGTAAATAACAAGTGGAAAAAAGTTCACCCTTATCAGTTGGACATTCCGGTTTTTATACTGCTTTTTTTAAATTCACTAACGCTCTAAAAATGAATATTTCAGCCGCAGTAAAGAATCACTCGTTGGCGGATTTTGGTTCTTGACATCCTTTACGATCGGTTACGATGCCTAGAGTACGGAGACCTGTACGATTTTGTCAACTTAGTGAGCTTGATAGGGGCCGTATCGTGGGACTTCGGGAAGCTGGTCTTTCTTTTCGGGCAATTGCAGTTAGAGTGCAAATAAATGTAGACACTGTGGTAGAACAGACCGTGAAGATCGCCGCCTAACATTATTGGCCTTAAAGGACCGTTTCTCCACTACCAGGTCCATTGCAAATGAATGGTTTGCAGAACACGGAAGACCTATTGGCATGCGCAGTGTTTACCGACGAATGAGAAGTTTTGGCTTGTTTTCATACCAGCCACACTGGGTTCTCCCTTTAACTCGAGAACACCGACGTAATCACCTTGAGTGGTGCAGACAACGGTCACTCTGGGATCAGGAATGGAACAGTATTGTCTTTAGTGACGAGTCTCGATTTTGCCATGTGGCGAACGTTGGACACATGCAATCCGTCAGCGCTCTCCCACACGATGTGGCGAATGACATACTGACATACATGACAATCATGTGATGACAGATGATAATGACATATTTATTTTGATCCAGGGGTTCCACATGATATGCTTTGTTTATGTTTATTCAAATTAAAATTGTATAAAGTATTTATCCGTATGTGTTTTGGAAAATAAAACATTATTGTTCTTGGATTTCTAGATCATATTTGAATAATGAACGTTTTAGAACTCTATAGTGGAATTGGCGGCATGCATTTAGCCTTAAAGGGTAACCCAATTTTTGCATAATATACATTATGGGGGCGTTGGGACTTTATAAGGATTATTATATATGTAATTTAATTATGTCAAACTTTCCAGAAAGTGGTGTCGATGGAAGAATTATCGCAGCTTTAGAAATAAATACTACAGCTATCGAAATTTACAAGCACAACTTTCCAGAGGCTAATCTACTAAATGCCAACATAGAAGGTTTAACAGCAGAGTTTGTGAATAAGTTGAATGTTAACACAATTTTGATGTCTCCTCCATGCCAGCCCTTTACAAGAAATGGTTTGCAAAATGATGTAAATGACAAACGAACTGCCTCCTTTCTACATGTTTTAAGTTTGTTAAAGGACCTTGATATCAGAAATATTCTGATAGAGAATGTCAAAGGATTTGAGACATCTACAATGAGAAACATACTTGTTGATACTTTAAATGAGAATGGTTACACATTCCAGGAGTTCTTGTTAACACCACAACAATTTGGCATTCCCAATTCAAGGCTTCGGTATTATTGTCTGGCAAAGAAGTTGCCAGAACAGTTTAGTTTTAAAATAACTGATATGGTAAGTTTTGCTGAATGAACCATTAAATAGAATCACACATGCAGAAAGATAAAAAATACTGATGTTTGATAACATAGGTGTTCTTTTCCAAACTACAAGTGTAACAAATTACAATAAAAACTCATTACACTTGTACTTGAAAAAGGCCACATAGGTGGCTGATAAATAAGTAACATTTTTCTTGCTACATATGTTTATGCATGGTGGCGTATCGAAAACGAAACAGACGCATTTACTGGCAGCTCCGTTTTTTTTGGAAAAACGCTCAGACCCGTCGATTTTGTTTTCGAGAGGGACACAAGTTTGTCAAAAAATCACGTTAGCACTTGCAGCTCCCTAAGCGGAGGTGACACCACACCCAAAATCTTAAATTGAAAGGGGGGTCGAGTGATACCTTATTTTAAAGGTCTTTCAATTCCCTTTATAATGATATAAAATTAATGTAGTTTTGAAGATTCATTGATTTAAAGCCTAAATAAAACTAATACATCATCATTACTAGACATCAATACATTTGGCAGCAAAGTAATTTAAAAACGAAGAATGAACTGACCCGTTAGGCAAGTAAATGTTGAAAATGGCCACCATGACTCTCCATGCAATAATAAAGATTTTAGTCAAAACATTGCCGCACATTTTGCAATATTTGAGGAGTAATTTGAAGGCACTCATTCACAGTTCTTTGTCGCAGGTCTTCTAATGATGTTGGCTAAGTAGCTTAGATTTTGCTTTTTAAATGATCCCACATAAAGAAATCCAAAGGTGATAAATCTGGCGATCTTGCGGGCCATTCAATGGCACCTCTTCTACCACTCTATCGATCTGGAAACGTCTGATCTAAATATTGTCGAACACGTAATGCGTAATGTGGTGGGGCACCATCCTGTTGGAACATCAACTTATTCGCAATGTACCACCGATCACTCTGATTTTCAATTATGGCTGTTAATGCAGGATCTATTGCGTCTTCCAGTAATTCCAAATATATTTCACCCGTCAAATTTCCAGGTAAGAAAAAAGGGCCAACTAAATGATCGCCAAAAGTGCCAGCCCAAACATTTAATTTTTGTAGCTGCTGTGTATGAACCTCATGATAAATTCTGGGATTAGAATTGGACCAATATCGGCAGTTATGACGATTTACTACGCCATTTAAAAAAAAGGAACATTAGTCGGAAAAGCAAGTGTTGAATAGAAAATGTTCATCGTTTATAATTCGTTCACTCATATCTTCACAAAATTGTAATCGCCGATCAAAATCGTCTTCATTAAGTTTTTGTACCAGCTGAATTTTATACGGATGAAAACTATGCGCCTTTAGAATCCGTTGGATAGTACGTCGACTAACACACAGAGTCACCAATTCGCGGGTACTTAACGTAGGATCTACATAAACTTGCCCTAAAACCCCCACTTCTATTGCTTTGTTCCTTATGGGATTTTCAATGTTGCGTTTTTTATTGGCGACTGACCCAGTTTCCCGAAATTTAGCTACAAGTTCTAGAACATATTTTCGATGCACGTTACTGTTCTCATGTCGCTCATTAAATATTTATGCTGTTCTATTAGCGCACTGATTATTTCCGAAAAATATTTCGATAATTTCAACTCTTTCTGCTGTGGAATATACCAGGGTTAATTTATGTAATAAAGCGTTACAAGTTATTTTAACAACAAAGTTTGGTCAAATCAATCGCAAACTATGTACTAAATTCCTATTTAAAATAAGTACGAGATATTTCCTTATCTTTCTTCAAGAAATAACTTTTTTGCCACAAAAAAACGCTCCAATAGCTATTTTCAACAACAAAATGATAAACAAGCCATGGGCATAGCGAAGGAAATCATTTACTTATTAAGTAAATTCTTTTAGTCAAATTTCTTCTGAAAGTAGTACAAACTAATCTGATGTACCTATTAAAGTCTACTTTAAGCTTTATATCAATAAATCTTCAAAACAACTGAATTGAAGCTCATGTATTTTACATCATTATAAAGGGAATTGAAAGACCTTTAAAATAAGGTATCACTCGAACCCGCTTTCCATTTAAGATTTTAGGGTTGGTGTCACCCCCACCCAGGGGCTGCACGTGTTAACGTGATCTTTTGCCAAACTTGTGTCCCCCTCGAAAACAAAATCGACGGGTCTGAGCGTTTTCCCAGAAAAAACTGAGCTACCAGTAAATGCGTCTGTTTCGTTTTCGATGCGTCACCCTGAATATATATTTTTTCAATGGTCAGAGAAATATGGAAATACTTAAATCAGCAAGACAATCATACTACAGTGAAATCTCCTTTGGACAGCCACCAATCGGACACTGAAAACTGAATATATTAAAGAAACTGGGACATTTAAAATGTATATGTATATAAATGTCCTTGAAATAAACAAAAAACATTAAACTCAAGAAAAAAAGCTTTGTTACCTTTAGATGTATACAAAGTATGTATATATATATATATATATATATATATGTATAATATACAGTAGTGGACAAAAGTTTGGAAACAAATATTAACATTATGAACTATTTCATATACCGAAACTAAAATTGTGAAGGAACAGTTAATATAAATATTAAAGTCTACCTTTGGCTCCCGTACTAATACAAGGTTTATCTTATCAATATTCAAATTCTCTGAAAATAAAAACACGCGTTTTTTAAATACCACAGTATTTGTAACGACAAAAGTATGGAAACATTTGAGTTTTGCCGTATTTATACATTTTGCGATACTCTGATATTGCGTGCGGTAATATTAACGTCAGTGAGAATGGCAAAAGTAAAAGGATTTTCAAGAGATTTAAGAGACGAAGTAATTGAATTATTTAGGTGGACTAAAAATTAACAAAGGGACGATTTTGAAAATTATTAGTCGATATCAAGAATACAGAGCCACAGATTTTCAAAAGAATCGTAGAAGAGTGTGCCGAGAATCTTTCTGTCAGAACAGTGCACAGACCCTTGGTGGATTTCGGGCTTTTTGGTGAGCGTCCAGCGCAAAAGCCTCTTATTTAAAAAAAATCGTACTCGACTCGAATTTGATAAAACTCATCTAACTTGGACAGAGCAACAATGGAAAGAGTTTATGGTGCGATGAAAGTAAATTTAACTTGTTTTGATCTGACGGTACGGCATATGTGAGACGTCCAATACGAAAAAGATTCGATAAAAAGTATCATTTGCCAACAGTTAAGCACGGTGGAGGCAACATCATGGTTTGGGGCTGTTTTTCTTGTTCTGGAACGGGTCCAATTGTTAAAATTATTGGGAAAGTGGATCAAAAATTTCACAAAGATAATCTTAGTAAATACATGCTTCCTTTGCTGAAGAAGAAATGCCTTTATGATGGACATTCCAGCAAGATAATGACCACAAGCATACCTTAAAATTCGTAAAAGACTGATTAAGACAAAAAAATGTTAAACCCTATAAAACATCTCTGGGAGCATGTTAAAAGACAACTGTCAAGAAAAACTTAAAAAAATAGGAACGATTTATTTGATTATGTAAAAAATATATGGCAAAATATTCCAAGAGACATCTGTAAAAAACTGGTGTCTTCTATGAGCAGCAGATTCAGAGGGTTGAAAAGAAACATGTTTTTTAAAAAAGCAAAAATTATATTTTTTTGCCTATATAATCTAGCAACGTTAATGAAGTTCCTTAAAAGTGTTATTACTGTTTTTGATCCAGCTCTATCAGAGGAGCAGATGTCGGGCAGTGTTGAATGCTAAATAAAGGCTATGCTACCAAATATTAGCTAAACAGTATTTTTCAAATCTTTTTGTAGAGTTATTGCATTTAATTTTGTAATACAAAATATGTTTCCATACTTTTGTCGTCTCATTTTTGGTCGTAAAATAATTTGAAAGTATTTCAATGCTAGTCTGTAGTACCACAGCAAAGAAATTGTCATTTTTATCCTCAAGACTGTAAGCAAACTACATTAGAAAAAAATAGTCATTAATAATAAAGAATAGAAAATTAGCTCACTTTTTAAAAATTACTAAGAATGTTTCCAAACTTTTGTCCGCTACGGTACATATATGTAATGACAAAACAATGAAATAAAAAGTCACTTTAAGGACGCAAACATTTATTATTGACGATTGTTTCTTCTTTTTCTTCAAAATGGCGTCTGAAGTCGTATCTCTTATTTAGAAAGAACCTCCAAAGGCTGTGTATCTTCTCTCCCTGATTTTCGACAAAAATTTTGAGCTGCTTGGTCAGGGTCACAGCTTTACCATAATTTGGAATATTTGCTGTTGGTATTGGAACCTCATCGACATCAGAATATTCGGAAAGTTCTTGTATTTCAACTGGATTTTCAATTTCTTGGCCTGAATTTGGATCGTCAACATACAAACTTTAATCTAGGTTCAAAAAATCATGAAGGTCTTTTTATCAGTCAATTTCAGTAAATTTTTATTTTTGAGGATATCTGAAAGTACATTAAGTGATAAGTCATCTTCTGGGTCAGGTGCTTAAATCCTGCTTTGCAGATGCAATTTTGCACTGTTTCTTTATTAACTCAAAAGCTGTGCCAGCAGTTTCAATTTTTACTAGCAGGTGTTTGAGTATTAGACTTCGGTAATGAGTTTTAGAACTCTTCATAATTCCCGATCAACTCGGGAAAGTTCCTAATTTACGCTGGAAATGCACCACATAGGCTGCGTTTGTACTGAAAGTTTGAAGTCGGTGAACCCCGGCGTTTCTTTTTATTTTGCTTTTTGTACGGTTGGGAGAACATTTCTTTGTGTCCGCGTCCGTTCAAAAAGAGAGAGTTAATACAATGCAAATTATATGAGAGTTGGTCGGGACCATGAGAAACTGTCCGTTTAAAGGAGATGTCGGTGTAGGAAACTTTCACTGAATATGTTTTAGGAGCTGTTTCAAAATGTATCTTGTGTTTTTTGTTACAGAAACATTCTTTGCCAGTTGAGATTGGAGCAGCAGATTGCTTTCCAATATCGACCATTCTCGATGATGATGTAAATGAAAAATTTTACTTGTCGGACTCTATTTTGCAAAAGTATTGTAACATCATTGACATATGCTACAAGCATTCAAAGAGGTCATGTTGTTTCACTAAAGCTTATGGCAGATTCATAGAGGGTACAGGAAGTATTTTTACTGATAGGACTGAGGAGGAGGTGGAAAAAGTATATCTAGAGGCAAACCAGCTCACGGATACTGCAGTTAAGGGCCAGTTATTGAAAAACTTAGGCTTAAGATTCTTTACACCTAAAGAGGTGTGTAGACTTATGAGTTTTCCTGATACTTACACTTTTCCTACTTCTGTTAGTGATAAGAAGAAGTATATGGTATTAGGTAATAGTATTAATGTAAAAGTTGTATCAGAATTAATCAAATTATTGTATAGTTAGCAAACATTTTTACCTATTTACAGTTGTGAATATAATAATAAGATCTTTCGTCTGTTATTTTTTACAAATACCTTCCAGTAGGTTCCATATATGCCTTTATGCCTAAAATAAAGAATTAATTTTTGGGAATAATACAATTTTTTTAAGCTCTGAATAGTCTTCCAACTACACAGTATGTCCACGAAGTATGGACACGCCGAAATATCTCGGAAGCTAGGGGTGCTAGAAAAACGCTTTCGATTCAAAGGTTTTAAGAAACCAAATGGTGCTGCTCTTAGATTTGATGTTGACGTTCACCTTGAAGGTCAGTTCAAGGGCAAGTTGATTTTTCAAATGGGAACTGCAGAAATAGAAAGGCAAACTGATTTTATATTCAACGGTGTAAATATAGGGCAGTGGTCGCCAACCTTTTCAGTGTGTTGAGCTACTTTGATAATTTTGGAATACTTAAATAGTGAGCTACCTAGTCGTAAGCAATGTAAGCCAACTTAAATGAAATTATACACAGTTGTATGCGACATACATGTATTTATTTTACTAATGCTAATACAAAAAAATGTGTTCAATGAGGAGCCTGACACTCGATAATTTGATACCGCCACTGGAATACAATTATCCAAATGTTCATCTGTAAGGGGATTACAGTATTTGTTTTTAATGAACTTCATATCTGAAAAAGAATATTCACACAAATAGGTTGAACTAAATAACGCTTTCACTCAAGGCAACACGACATAAAACTGAATATCTTTACTTATTGAAGGCCAGATACATTTTGTATTTGAGACTAATGATTTTAAAGCTAAATCATTAAAAATATAAACGTAAGCTGTGAAGTGCAAATCGTTTTTTGGGCGAAATTCGTCTACCGTTTCGACCTGCCAGTCCAAGCGACGCGACGGTGCGTTCCGACTAAGAAAAAATGTATTCAAATAATTTGATATCTTTAGTAAAATGAATTCAAGAACTCAAATTCAAATTCGTTTATTCATGTCAATAAACACAATTATGTTTACAAGGGTCATGTGGTACATCGAAAATATCTTATGCCGTCAAAATAAGAGGAAACAGTTAGGTAGTTTTTGCAAAGCAATAAACAGGTAGGCTTATAGATTAAGTACATTTCTTGTCTACGGTAATAGGTAGATGGAGACGATGCTGCCAGAAATGAATTTGTGCGATCAATAAACAAACCACAAGATTGAACTGCCGTGTCCAATGATTTTTGTATTGCCTTTTTTATTGCCTTACTAGCAAAAACTGTTGGGTATATGATGAAGTTTACTACAATTTTACAGTTTGTTGTCGGCCTTCTTCTACAAACTTCACCAAATCGAGACGCTGTCAACCTTATCCTCCGATGAAGGCGCCACAAAGTACAGTCCTGTGATTTAGTGACTTGTTCGATCTGCAAAATCTCATCGTCATTTTTTTTAAGTTTCCCTAAACATTCTTGTTTAGCATCCTCCAAATTAATCATGTCAGGTTTTTGACAGAACTCGCCATAAAACTATTCATTTTCTTTGGAATTGCTATCCGAATTGTTACCGTAAAATCATCTAAATATGGTCCAAAACTACATTCAATTTACTTTGTAAGCTTATACAGGGTGTTCCATAATTATTGCGACAAAATGATAGGGGTTGTAGAGGGCATCAAAATGAACAATTTTGCCTTATAAACCCCTGTTCGGAAATATGCCGTTTGGGATGCAGCAAAAAAACAAAGATCAGTTTCTTGAAACAGCTTACCTACAGTAATTGCTCAAAGTGTCCTCCACCTTGCTCAATACACAGCTGTGCACGATTGTTCAATGATCGGCGAACTCTGTGGCATACCCCCGGTTTGTCCTGAACATGTGCGGACGCGGCCATCACTCTTCCCAGTAGCTCTTGTTGGTTGGGAACAGTAGTTTCGTACACTAAAGCTTTCAGATGGCCCCAGAGAAAATAATCCAGTGGGGTCAGGTCGGGTGACCGCGCAGGCCAAGGCACAGGGCCACCTCGGCCGATCCACCTATTTGTCGTCCAAATACTGCCGCACTTGTAAATAAAAGTGGGCTGGAGCGCCATCGTGTTGAAACCACGTGTTGGCTCTTATGTTCAGTGGCACATTTTCTAATAGTTCCGGTAGCACATGCTGTAAGAATCAACCATAAGCATGCCCATCCAAACGTGGTGGAAGCAAATATGGCCCGATGATATGCTCGTCCACAATGCCGCACCAGATGTTAATTGAAAACTATGTTGGTCTCTATGGATGGCTATGGCATGAGTGTTTTCTTCATCCCAAATGTGACTGTTACGGCTATTAAAATAACCTTCCTTTGTGAAACAGGACTCGTCAGTGAACAAAACGTAGCGACCAAAGTTTGGTTGCCTCAACTCCTGCTGCAGCCACCAACGACAAAAACGTCGACGCGGCAGATAGTTTTCTGGACCCATGGCTTGGACTTTTAAAAGGTGGTATGGGTGTAGTTGCTGGTCATGGAGAACCCGCCAAGCAGTAGTTTGAGACGCTCCCATTTCATGTGCAATAGCACGCACGCTTGTGCGCGGATTGGCCTCTAGTTTGACGCACCACTCAGATAAATTAAATGAATCGGTGTGGAGAATTTACGATAACAAAAATGTAAACACAGCATTTTTTTTTACAAATCGGCGAGACCATGAAATGTGCTAGACGAACATTTTGCAGCTGTTGAATTTTTTGTTTCTCTTAAGGTAAAATTAGCGGTAGTGCTCAAACGGCATATTTACGAACAGGGGTTTATAAGGCAAAATTGCATATTTTTATGCCCTCTACAACCCCTATCATTTTGTCGCAATAATTATGGAACACCCTGTATATAAAAGTCTATTACCAACAGCGGGAAGGAATTTGATGTAGACTGTACCTTATTGAATTACTGACTATATGTAGTAGTTATTATTGCTTAAAAATACCAACCTATTTTTTAATTTTTTTGTTAAATATTGGACCATAGTTGCATATGATGTTTTTAACTATAGTCCAGATCGAATTTCACCAAGAAAACGTACGCGTATACGAATTTGGGCTACAGTTGGAAGGGTCTCATGCAAAAATAGATATACTGAAAGTGATATCTGCAAAAAGAAACTACAAATTACAATCAATAATCTTATTTTTTTATTTATAATGTACAAATTGAGATCAATTTAACAAAACAGCCTACTCTTCTTAAAACGTCAACAAATGAACAAAGAAAACGTATCTTTCATAGGAACATTTCAAACTATTCATAGAAATTATTTGAGAAAAGCAATAAAAGATAAAGAAATTAAACAAAAACAATTATTTTTTGGGATTTCCCCACCTACTTTCTAGCTCCGGAACTCGGAATAAAGACCTTTTGGTGCTCATTTTTTTGGGCTCCTCAGTTTTATATTTAATATCACCGAGAGGGTAAAATATTTTGTCCTCTTTTTCTGGCCATTTCCACAACAGTCCAGAACGGGCCATACATTTTACGTAGGCTCCTTCTTCTTCGATAGATTCTATCTGGCCAGGCCATAGTTCCCCCTCATACGCCACTACAACATAATCTTCCGGAACATATTGCAGCGATGCATTGTGAGGAGAACTATCATGCTGCTGTTGTATATTTTCATCTTCCCAATCGTCGGCTTCCTCATTTAGCGGGCCATCGGAATCTGAATCGTCAATAGTTTCCACTGCCTGGTCTTCTTCTGAATCTGTTTCAGTTTCCGAATCTTGTTTTTTTTTCTTTCTTCCATTTTTGTTGCTTGTGGAGGTTGAAGGTTCGGACAGGACTCTTTTGAGTTCTTCAGAAGATACGCTTTTTCCGGGATCTACATTCAATTTTCTCTTGCGACCTCCTTTTCCTTGACACACTACAGCTTGCCGCTTATTTTCAAGAAATTGGATGAATGACTCTCCGACGGCCTCTGGATCTAAGGTTGGCTCAGGGTGTTTGAACGTAGGAAGTCTCTCAAGCACTGGCTGTTCATTAGTTGGGAAAATCCCTGTTTTTAAAAAGCCAGCTTTTAGGTTGTCTTCAGTTTTTGATGCAATTTTTTCCCATAACTGATTAAGCAGTGAAGGGAATGTCTGTTTTGGAATGGTAGGCAAAACCTGACCTTCTCGCGTAGATTTCCATTCATCCAGTATTTTCCGCCAATGGACTTTGAGAGGTCGGAAGTATGCCACGTCCAGCGGTTGTGTAAGGTGTGTACTGTTAGGCGGCAATGCGACGAACGCTATGTTGTGGTCTTCGCATGCTTTGACTACCTTGTAGCTGAGATGTGAGCTTAAATTGTCTCCAATTATTACTTTCTTTCCTTCTTCTCTTCTCAGTGCCGGTAACACTGTGGTGAAAAACCAATCTTCAAAACTATTAGCGTCAAACCAACCCGATTTAGATCGATTGTATCGAGTATTGGAAGGTCCTCCTTCGGTCCAAGTGTCCCACAAATGTTCAGCTTTGTAATTAACATATGGCGGTAACAGTTGACCTGCGACATTTCCACACATCATCAGACTAAAGGCGGCTTTCGTTGAGTTTTTAATAGCCTCTGGATATTTTGTGCCACGTTTCGTTAGAACTTTTTTCTTTCCTGGGTCATCAACTAAATTAGTCTCATCGTAATTATAAATCAAGTGAGGTGGGATATTCTCAATTTCCATTTTCAAATGATTGAAATAGTTCTTGATAGCTTCTTCATTTACTGCAGCTCGGACACGTTTAATATTGCTGCAGAACCTATGCGAAAGCTCTGATTTGTGTCTCTTTAAAAAAAGTTGAGCCCATGTACGACCTGGAAAATTATTTGAAAATTGTGGCACATTCCTTCCTTGCTTGTCCAATATGTTTTCACTATACATCGTAGGTCAAATAAAGTGATTGGGAACCCAAAGTGACACATTTGGATGGCGTGATCGACGAATGAGGATTCTTCTTTCGTGGTGAATACACATTGCCGACCAGGTGGGCGAACACTATTGTTGCGTATTGCTTTTATTTTCAGAATTATTGAAGATCTTGGTATTTTATATTTTTCTGACGCCTCCCTTTGAGTTAATACTCTGTTTTCTATATCCGATAGGCACAGTTCCATCTGTCTGTCGCTATAATACTTGTATGGCCTGCCTCCTAGCTTTCTTCTGGACATTATCAGTGAGTCATCCATCCACACCTGTAATAAAAATGAACTTCTAAATATGGTCCAAAAAAATCATAGAACTATTGTTGAAACCAAAGTACGAAAAATTATTATTTTTCGATTAATTTTTATAACAACACCTATATGTGAAAAACTATTTGCACAAAGTAGTCACTATTAGCTTACCTTCAAACAAAAACAAACCGCGAAATTCGGCACAAACTGCAAGTAATGTTTTCAAATAAAAGTTTCGACTTGTTCAATTTGTCGGCCGGATTGCCTTACCGAGCGGTGTTGCCATCTAGTTAGAAACGCGGTAACTATCAGACTTATACCCATAGGCAATAATGATACACATTAAATTCACTTGGCGGCAGCACTTTCGAACTTTTAAAGACAAAAATGGACAGGTCATTTTGGATCATAGTTGTATAATAGGACTATAGTTGTATGATTTTACGGTAGTTATTTTTATATCAGCTTTCTTTGGCCTGAGTTTCTTTTCAAGATTCTTGCGTTTGAGTCTTTGTTCCATCTTAGCGATAAGCGAGGTTGGACTAAGCTTAGAACGCAAATGTATTTGGACCACATATACAGGCCGCTGGGTATTGTTGCTCACTACAGCTGCAGCACATCTTCCATGGTATGTCCTCTTCTTGCAATAAGTTATTCGCTGTATTTTGCGATTATAGAGTTGAACTGCTCCACACTATTGTTGACCTCATCATGAATTAAGCTCAATGCATTCGTAATTAAAATGGTCGCATATGACCTTTTATTGTCCATTATCAACTTTGATAAAAAAGGCACTCAAGAACAATCACACCAACAACAATTCAACAACACAATATCGACGAACAGTAACAAGGGGAGAAAAATACTAGATCGATAATCGAAATCCGACTCTGTTATAAAAATTTACATTGGATGCACCCGCAGTCATCCTTTGCTCTTTTAAAGTAGCGCCGACGACAGTCTAGGGCCAATCCACCCTCGTTTCCTTTTCATCCCCCGTTACCTCAGCAGATGGTGCTCGTGATTGTAGGAGCCCCGTTAAGAAAATGTCCACATAATGCTTGCTGATGGACAATGCAGTGGTAACAGAGAAATTGCGGAAAACTTTCATCTTTACGACATAACCCCACGAGACCCTTATCACGACTCACCATAGCTGGAGAGCCATCGGTTGTCAAGCCTACCACTTTCGATCTTGGAATTTTCTCAGAAGAAATAATATTTTTAAAAGAAGAAAACAAGTCCTGCCCAGTAGTCTGTCCTTTTACGGCCTTCTGACATCTGTGGATTCATCCAGCTGCAGTGAAAAATAAGCACAGATACAGACTACTCGTCTCATCACTGTATTAGCAGAAAGTTGCATAGATTTTATAACAGACACTATCTTGTCTTTATTTCTAAAGTTAGCAAACAATAAATCTGAAGCTTCTAAAAACGCCTGATTTATCATTTCCCTGTCTTCATAAGGTTTCTTCTTTTGTGTAATTATCTGGGACACCCGGTAAGATCCTCCAGTTGCAGCCTTACCTTTGTCGATTGTTTTCAAAAACATTGTCTGTTGTCCAATTAACTGATTTTCTAATCGTTTCAGTTTTCCCGTTCTGGTTACAAAACGTAATAGGAATGATTTTTCAAAATTCGAATTCGAATAGTGCCTCTCTATATTCCCTTTTTTGGCAACGGAAACTTAACAAACATACATTTTTACCTTTAACTTCTGTAAAGAAATATTGTTCTTCCCATTCCGAATGGAAATGGTGTGTCTTCATCTTCTTACTACTGCTCATAATGTTTTTAATTGCAGGCCAACTCTAACCCAACCACTGGACTTTGAGCCGTTCAGTTTTAAACTGAGCGCACTGTCGCCGCGCCTTGCGTATTTATTCCGTTCAAAGTAATCGAGATCGTTCTCGAACAGATCGCTCACCGCAGTGTTGGCGCTGCTTCTGTTTATTATGGGAATTTACAAAATTTACGGAAGCTTCTACACCTCTTAAAAATATGTTGTGAGCCACCAGAATTGCCTTTGCGGGCTACCGGTTTAGGCTATCACAAGCTTTGGATATAACCAAACCAAAATATACATGTATATGCTGATGATGTACAAATGTATAAAGCTTGCAAGAAAAATGAAGTTAATTTATTGATTAAAGAGTTAAATGTAAATCTAGAAATGATTGCAAACTATTCCAAAAATTATTGTTTGAAACTGAATCCCACAAAAACTAAAGCTTGCTGCATTGGTTCTAGGTTAAATATTTCAAAATTTAAAGGGTTGATGAGTACAGCCATTGTTTTAGGTTATACATCTGTTGAAATTGTAGAGGAGACTAAGAATTTAGGCATTTTGTTGGACACAAATTTAAGTTTTGAGAACCATGTCATTAATAAGCTTCGAGTATGCTATTGTAAATACAAGTCACTTTGGAGATACAAACATGTTTTAACCAGCGATATAAAATTAAGGCTTACCAATGCACTAATCCTCACTCACCTAGACTGTGGCGCTACAGTATATTATAATTTTCTGACGGAAGAAATGAAGCACAAAATTCAAGTATTACAAAACTGCTACATGAGATTCTGTTTCAAAGATATACATATACAAGAACATATTACTGGATATTATGTGAGAGAAAATCTTTTAAAATTCAAGTATCGTGTATTACTTCAGTGTGGAACTCTACTATATAAAGTTTTAAAATATAAATTACCCAGATATCTGTTTATTGCTTTAGAGAAGAGATGTTCACTCCGTAAAGTTTCCTTACGCAACAATGAATACTTCAATATTCCAGTTCATACAACATATAAATTCAAAAAATGTTTTACTTACACGGCACCATATCTACTAAACGTTCATTTAGAAATTTTTGAAGCACCTTCCATCCAAACCTTCAGAAATGAGATGGAAAAAGTGCTACTACAGCTGCAAAGATTTGAATCCACAAATTAAATTTATGGCGCTTGCTACACTACCCTCCATTAACACTCAGACTATATCGTATTATATACCTACTGTGTTGTGCATAATATGTTGTGAATTCTGTTGATGTTAAAAAACGCTCATGAAGTTAACTTTTTAGGGGGAGGTGAAAAATGGCCCTGCCAATCCTCTTTTCTTTTGGAATGTTGTCGTTTTTATATTTTTATGTATCAACATTCCAATAAAAATTCTTATTATTATTATTATTATTATTATTATTAAAAGCATGATCATACAAATACTTCCTGTCTCCCAGCCAGTCAATATCGTACCAACAAACCCATAAACAGTTGTTTCTACTGATTTACCATTAATAGGTATATCCATGTCGTGAGCTACTGATAAATTTTAAGTCATAAAAAACTGCAAAAGTCGTGTGCACATAGCAATCTCGAAAATTTTTGGAAAAGTAGATACTGAACTAATGGGATTATAATCTTCTAGTAAGGTTTTGTCTTCCTTTTTGTACAGAGGTTTAAAAATTCAAATTTCCTGCAATTGAAAAGGTAAACAACTTCACAATAGGAGAGCGTTGACGCTCTCACGGAACGATAGAAATATATACTAAGTGACATATAAAACCGAACACCCAGTTTAAATGGTTTTATTTTAATAAAATTTTGTATAAGTACTTAATGAAGCATAATAAGTAAATGATAAAAAATTCAAAATGATTGCACTGCTTTAAAGCCCTTTGACCTTTAATAATGTGTGGATGCACCCTGATGTGCTACGCATTCTCCAACGCGCCTAGGCATGCTTCTGATCAGGTGGTCAATGTCCTCCTGTGGTATCTCATTCCAGGCAACCACCAACTCCTCTCGAAGTGCTTCTAGAGTCTGAGGAGGACGTTGCAAACCATTCATTTGCAATGGACCTGGTAGTGGAGAAACGGTCCCTTAAGGCCAATAATCTTAGGCGGCGATCTTCACGGACTGTTGTTCTACGGCGGCGTCCAGTGCCCCTTGCTCTTTGCGTACGGCTTTCTCAAAGCCATGCCTGACAACACCTAACCACCGTGTCTACACTTCTTTGCACTCTAACTGCAATTGCCCGAAAAGAAAGTCCAGCTTCCCGAAGTCCCACTATACGGCCCCCCTATCAAACTCACTAAGTTGACGAAATCGTATAGGTCTCCGTACTCTAGGCATCGTAACCGATCGTAAAGGATGTCAAGAACCAAAATCCGCCAACGTTGATTCTTTACTGCGGCTGAAATATTCATTTTTAGAGCGTTAGTGAATTAAAAAAAAGCAGTATAAAAACCGGAGTGTCCAACTGATAAGGCTGAAAATTTTTTCACTTGTTATTTACAGTAAGATAAATACATTCACCAACTTTTATTAAAATAAAACCATTTAAACTGGGTGTTCGGATTTATATGTCACTTAGTATAGAAATACCCAAGGTCGTTCTGAAGAAGAGAAATGACTATTAAAATCAAGGAGGCCATAAAGGCGCCCTACAATTAGGCACGACTGATAATACGGCACTAAGTTATTTGAAGAAAAAAACAGAATTCCCTAGGTAGGCCTTGGAATTATCGGACAGTCACTTATTTCGCATGCCAGATTTATTTCAGAATCATTCTTATTTTTTACTGACTCAAAATAAATTGCATGTTGTCATTATTGCCACTTATTCTCCTCTACAAGAATTTAAATGGACTTTTCAGTCCTAAATTCAGTGATGTAGTTCCCTTGTTGGCCACGAACCTGTCG